CTAATCAAGAAAAGGACAAACTATCACTATCAGGAATGAGAAAGAAAAAAATTATAGATCAGACAATAAAAGAAATTTTAAAAATTATGAAAAATTTTGTTCAATTAAACAAGAAATGGACGAATTCCTTAAAAAATACAACTTATCAAAACGGATTTAAGAAAAAAAATTTTAAATCTGGAGAAGCCTTATATATGTTTTAAAATTTGAACACGAAATTTAAAACTTCTCACAAAGAAAACTCAGTCCCAGATTAGCTTCAGTGGTGAAGCCTTTCAAAAAGACAGAGTAGAAATGAACAAATCTTAAACAAACTCTTTCAAAAAATACAAGAGGAAATACTTCCTAACCCATTTATGAAGCCAGTATACCTAAAACAAAGATATTGCAAGGAAACTAATATTCCTCATAAATGTACACTTAAAAATTGTTTTAAAAACAATTTAAAACCACCTGGGTGGCTCAGTTGGTTAAGCATCCGACTTTGGGTAAGGTCATGATTTTGCGGTTCGTGAGTTCGAGGCCCACATCAGGCTCTGCACTGACAGCTCAGAGCCTGAGCCTGCTTCAGAATCTGTGACTCCCTCTCTCTCTGACCCTCCCCGGACTGTGCTCTGTCACTCTGTCTCTCAAAAATGAATAAAAAGCTAAAAAAAAATTTTTTTAAATTACTTTAAAAGGTTAGTAAACTGAATCCAGAAATGTATAAAAAGGATGACACATCATGACCAAGTGTAGCTTATCCTAGGAATACAAGGTTGGTTTAATACTTGAAAATCAATCAATGCAATTCACCATATGAAGACAGTAAGAAGAAAAAAATCATTATCACCTAATAAATGCAGAAAAAGCATTTAAGTTACACACTCATTTATATGAAAATATAATCTCAGCAGGGGTGGCTGGGTAGCTCAGTCAGTTTAACGTCTGACTCTGACTCTGAACCTTTACCTACCTGTAACAGTCACAAAATACACAGCCAAAGTAAAAAGAATCAACCGCATTTGGGGCGCCTGGGTGGCTCAGTCAGTTAAGCCTCTGACTTTGGCTCAGGTTATGATCTCACAGTTTGTGGGGCTCACAGCTCAAGGCCTGGAGCCTGCTTCAGATTCTGTGTCTCCCTCTCTCTCTGCCCCACCCCCGCTCACACTCTGGCTCTTTCAAAAATAAATAAATGTTAAAAATTTTTTTTGAAAAAGAAAAAACAAAATCAACCACATTTCTATACACTGGTCATGAACAATTAAACATTGAAATTTTTAAAAATACCATTTACAATTGCATTCAAAACATGAAATATTTAGGGGTAAATATTTCCAATAACTCTATACTTAAAACTACATAACAATGCTAAGATAAATTAAAACCTAAACAAAGTGATATGCCATGTTCATGGACTAGAAACCACTATTGTTTAGATGCTGATCAAGTCAACATATAGAATCAATATAATCCCAATAAAAACCCAGCTGGTTCTTTTTATAGAAACTGAAAGGTTGATTCTACATTTTATACGAAAATACAAACAACCTAGAATGGTCAAAACAGTCTTGCAAGAAGAATAACAAAACTGGGAGACTACACTACCTGATTTCAAGATTTACTGTACAAGATTCAACAATCAAGACAGTGTAATACTGATGCAAAGATATAGACACTGGATCAAACAAAATGAAAACACAAGAGAAACAGCTTAACTTCTAGAAAGACACCCCCCCTCAAAAAATGAAAAAAAGATTCATACAAAAATGTTCATAGCAGTTTTATCCATAAAGGTTGAAAAACAGAGATAATACAACCATTAACAGGGGAAAGGAATAACCAAACTTTAGGATAATAAGGCAACAGAGTATTAATAATAGAGTATTAATCAACAATAAAAAGAAATGAACTACTTACTGATCCACTCAACCAACATGGATAAACCAAAAACATTATGCTGAGCAAAAGAAGCCAGACACGGGGCGCCTGGGTGGCGCAGTCGGTTAAGCGTCCGACTTCAGCCAGGTCACGATCTCGCGGTCCGTGAGTTCGAGCCCCGCGTCAGGCTCTGGGCTGACGGCTCAGAGCCTGGAGCCTGTTTCCGATTCTGTGTCTCCCTCTCTCTCTGCCCCTCCCCGGTTCATGCTCTGTCTCTCTCTGTCCCAAAAAATAAATAAAACGTTGAAAAAAAAAATTTAAAAAAAAAAAAGAAGCCAGACATAAGTTATATACGATGCCATTTGCATAAAGTTCTCAAGAGGACTGATTAGGAAGAAACACAAAGAAACCCTCTAAGATGACAGAAATATTCTGTCTGGACTGTAGCTTATACAAGTCTATGCAGTTGTCCAAACTCTGAACTTTAAAATTAGGAGCTGAGAGGGGCGCCTGGGTGGCTCAGTCGGTTAAGCGTCCGACTTCAGCTCAGGTCACCATCTCGCGGTCCCTGAGTTCGAGCCCCGCGTCGGGCTCTGGGCTGATGGCCCAGAGCCTGGAGCCTGCTTCCAATTCTGTGTCTCCCTCTCTCTCTGCCCCTCCCCCATTCATGCTCTGTCTCTCTCTCTCTCTGTCTCAAAAATAAATAAACGTTAAAAAAAATTAAAATTAGGAGCTGAGAGCATTCACTTTAAAGTTTTCCTCAATTAAAAAAAAATTTTTTTTCACTCAAAATATATTTGACTGCCTACCATAGCCGAGGTATTGAAAACTTGCAAGAAAAAAAAGTCAATTATCAAAATGAAAAGCAAACAAAGAGAAACCTTTTAAGCTAAGAAATAAAAGCCAGTAGACTGCCAATCAAAGAATGTTACAGGTATATACACAACATGTACAGAAGTAACAGGAAAAAAAAAAAATCACAGTGGATCTGGGCAACTAAAGTAATTAAAGTATGAAGCTCACATGGAGCACTCACAGACCACATTCATAAAACACTCCTTCACAAATTTAAAAGAACAGAAATTATACAATATATGCTCTCACACCACAAAGGACTTAAACTGAAAAGTAATAACAGAAAAATAGCTGGAAAATCCCCAAATACTTAGAGATTAAACAACACACTTCTAAATGATATGTGGATCAAAGAAGGTATCTGAGGAGAAATTAAAAGATATATTGAACTAAAGAAAAATAAAACAATTCATCAAAATTTGTGGGATGCAGTGAAAGCAGTGCTTAGAGGGAAACTCCGATCACTGAATGCATATATTAGAAAAGAAGATCTAAAAATCAATCATCTAACCTTCCAACTTAGAAAACTAAACAACACCAAATCAAACCCAAAATAACAGAAGAAATCACAAAAATTAGAGCAGAAATCAGTGAAATTGAAAACTAGAAATCAACAGAGAAAATAAAAAACTAACTCTTCTAAAATATCAATAAACTTGGTAAGACTCTACTAGGGTCTAGCAGAAAACAAGGAATTGTCCAATAGGTATGAGATTCAGTTTTGCAAGAAAAAACAGCTCTAGAGACCTGCTGAACAATAATGGATATTAAAAGAATAACAAAGGAATACTGTGAGCAACTCTATGCCCACAAATTTCAAAATCTAGATGAAATGGACCAATTCCTTGAAAGGCACAATCTGTAAAAACTCACACAAGAGAAAATAAATAATCTGAACAGGTCCTCCATCTATTAAAGAAACTGAGTAATTAATAACCTTTAAAAACAAACAAGCAAACAACCTTCCCAAAACTACCAGGCTTTATGTACTCAACTGAGTTTATCCTACATTTATGAAAGAAATTATACCAATTCTCTACAATCTCTTTCAGAAGTTAGAAGCAGAGGGAATAATCCTAGCTCATTCTCTAAGGCCAGGATTACCCTAATATCAAAATCAGAAACAAAGATATTACAAAAAAACTAGCCCAATATAACTCACAAACAGATACAAAAAATCCTCAACAACATATTAGCAAATTGAATCCAACAATGTATAACAAGAATTACACACAACAACCAAGTGGGATATATTAGAGGTATATAAGGGTGGTTCAGCATTCAAAAATCTATCAATGTAAGCCATCACATGAAAAGACTAAAAAAAAGTAAGGCTATTGCAAAGGGCTAGAAAAGTTGGTGGGCACATGTATTAGAATACAACTATAACTATTATTCATTCATTTACACTATGTGCCAATACCTGGGATACGATGGAAAATAAGACAAAATTCATGCTCTCATAGAGCCTACAATCTATTAGACAGACACTGAACAAGTAACCACAAGTCCCTATTGCAGAGACTCAACCTGGACTAAACAGAAGTGGCAGGCTGATAATGATGAACCACTAACTAGATTAAAAAACAGGAAGGGGGTATGGCTAAAGGGAATATTACAAGCAGGATGCATGAAGGTTCTGAAGCAAAAGAAAAAGTACAGTGTATTAGATATACTGAAAGAAATCCAAGTCTAATATCACAGAAAGGATAGAAGAGGATTACATTATGGTTATGGTTTTGTTGGTCAGTCATCAGGTAAAAAGAAAAACAAGAAGGCAAAAAAGTTATGAGTGCCTACAAAAGAATATTTTAGGTGAGAAACAATGACATTTAGGATAAACAGGAAAAACTAAAGGTCGATATGCTTTTGAAAAAGGTAATGAAAAAAATACAGACACCAGGAATTGCCAAGTTACAGAACCCGAAGGAAAAACCTTCAGGTGTATGATCTTTTTCTAGTTATACTCAAGATTCAATCTTTCTACTCTTTAAGGAAACCAAGAAGTTGAAACAAAATCTTTAAAATTTAAGCACTTAAAATTTAATACACAGTAATCCTGGAAAAGATAAGTTACTAAATGTATACAATACAAAAACTTGATTTTGCCTTTTTCAAATGTGATTTCTGTCAACATTTAGTGTATTCATTTAATAACACCCAGTTAACTATTAAGACTTTAAACATTTTCTGAAATTTCTTCAATGACTTGAAGCATTACTTAACACAAAATTAATTATGTTTCTAACTATAAGTTACATTAATTTTAAAAAGGAATTACTTACAGGGACATTAAGTGCATACTGTAGTCCTTGAGGAAGTCTTTCATGTGTTTCCATCTGCTCTTCATCATTTTTCACTGTCTCCTCATGGACCATGAGTTCATCATGTGATATCATATCCTGTTGTCTCATTTCGCTTTCTTGTAACACTTCATCTGCAGCAAGGATCTCCTGGTGAGGCATACTCCGATCTTGAAGTACCGACTCCTGCAGTTCCCCAGACACGGTAGACTGGCCAGACACTCCACCCATTACAACCATTGCCCTGGAAGACTGCATTTCGTCTATGCCGCCACATTTAAGAAATAATCCTTCCAGTTTGTCGTCAATGTTCATGCTTAAGTATAACTGCCTAGAAAGACCAAGTTTGGCAACAAAGCATAATAAATTAGTTTTATATGTCTACTTGATCCTTTTTAAATTTCAATTATGAAAGGTACACACTTTAATAAAAAAACTTTATTCATGTAATTTGTATTGTCTCCAATTTTAAAAATATCAAGGTAAGTTTCCAAAGGCTGGTGGAATAAAATGCAACTTCTCATTTTTGACATTAAGGCAAAAAATCATAATCTATTTCATTATGAAAAATGAGTATGACATAAAGGAAATTGGGGGGAAGTATCTGTAACAAAGGAGTTATGTTCTTTAATATATTAAAATGTCAAAAAAATTTTAAAGGTGTATAAAGAAATAAAGTGACAAACCACTATCAGGCAGATCATAAAGAAAACTTAGAAAACAGTCACTAAATATACAAAATAATAGTCACTTACAGTAGTAATCAAAGAAATGAAAATTAAAACAGAACTACCATATTTCATCCACCAAACTGGTAGTGACTCTTTAAAAAAATATACGTCTTGGGGCGCCTGGGTGGCTCAGTCGGTTAGGCGTCCGACTTCGGCTCAGGTCACGATCTCGCAGTATGTGAGTTCGAGCCCCGCGTCGGGCTCTGTGCTGACTGCTCAGAGCCTGGAGCCTGTTTCAGATTCTGTGTCTCCCTCTCTCTCTGACCCTCCCCCGTTCATGCTCTGTCTCGCTCTGTCTCAAAAATAAATAAATGTTAAAAAAAAAATTTTTTTTTAAATATACGTCCAATGTTGCAGTAGGTTTAAAAAAAAAAAAAAGACACTCATTATGAACAGTAGGAGAATAAATTAGCTCAATTACTTTCAAAGGCAATTTGGTACTTTCTATCAAAAGCCATAAAAACACACATATTCTTTGAACTGGTAATTATACTTATAGAAACCTATCCCAATGAAACAAAATATATACGTGAAAAATCACTACAGTAATTTACATTAGCAAAAAAATGGAAATACACTATTCAACAAACAAAACTGGCTAAAATATATTCATACATATGTCTTAAAACTATAGTGACAGCTATACAACTCAGTTAGTTATATTATATATATATATAATATATATATAGCTATATTATATCTCACAGTTTTTCTCAAAAATAGAATCAGAATAATGGCCCTTGGGGGTGGGGGGGGGTTGCTGCTGATAACAACAGGCAGGCAATGGGGAGTGTATGGGAGCTAGCAATATTTTTTTCTTGAGTTGAATGCTGGTTGGACAGATATGCTCACTTTGTAAAATTTCAAGTTGTACATGTGCAAAATATGCATGTTTTTGTCAGTTACTACACTTCAATAAAAAGTAAAAATCTGCTGACACTACAAAACAGTAATGAAATTATTCTTGAAAAATATTTGAAAATGTGGGGGAATATCCCAGTATTAAAGGAAATGTATGTGTGCATTTAAAGATACAGAAGTTTATGTAAAATGTTAACACCATTAACATTACCACTGGTGGTGAAATTACCAGAAGTTTTTTCCATATTTATATTTATCTCTGATTTGAAAACTTACTATAATAAAATTTTACTTTTTATACATGCTTTTAAATTTGTTAAAATGAAATAAAGGTGATACTTTCCTTACTAATACTTTTTTTTTTTTAACATTTATTTATTTTAGTGAGACAGGGACAAAGCACCAGTGGGAAAAGAGCAGAGAAAGAGGGAGACAGAAGCTGAAGCAGGCTCCAGGCTCCGAGCTGTCAGCACAAAGCGTGATGCAGGGCTTAAACCCAAGAACCACAAGATCATGACCTGAGTGAAAGTCAGATACTTAACCAACTGAGCCACGCAGGTGCCCCACTAATATATTCTTAAATAACACATGATTAAATTTAACAGGTCATGAGACCTAGACACTACCAAATAATTATATTATTTCCTCCATTATTGTAGAAAAGATAGGCAATATTAAATCTGCCCTTCTAACTTTGGTTGCTGTAAATTCAAATTCCACTGTGTTACTCCAAGAACCAACATAATGATCATGAAAGCTAAAGAAACTTCATCTCAAAAAACATGAAAGCACTGGTGCAAAGTTTGTTTTTCAAAACTGATTTCTACTATCAGACTGTGTAAAAATAACATACATGCCCTCTCCAAAAGTAGTAAATGAATTTAACTATTTGTCTCAGTTTAGTCACCTCTTTCCCAAATCAATCAGGTAGGTACTAGCTACTGCCTTGATCATAGCTTTCAAAGGTAAAATAAATGATCAGTTAAATTCAAATGTACTACTGAAATTTAAATGCACTTTCACTTACTAAGGTTATCACTTAGGGAGAAACCTGTACTTAAATGAACAGCTCCAAAAAAAAAGACCTTGTAAACAGCAAAGTAAAAAAAACACAAAAACATAATTCATACTTGCTAATCCTATCTTCCCTGGTACAAGATATTATCAGTCTAGAATACATAAAACAAAGTACCAAGAATCTGATTTTTACTTTTCAAAATCTTTAAATAGCAAGCTTGAAATCTACAGGACGATTTTAAATAAATCACCAAATAACTATTCTCTTCTAATATTCTATTTAGCACATTTCTTAGAAAATAAACTATCCTACAACTAAATGAAACTTAAGCCTTACAGGGCTAACTAAAATTTGCCTATTCTGGCCATTTCTTTGGAGGTTCTTACCAAATCATTATATTCTTCCAGTCTATTTACTGTTTTCTTAAAGAATGTGGAAAGCCCCTAACTTGAAAGGGAATTTTGATACCCAAAGCTAACCTTTATTGCAAGTCATCATTGTTGCTACCGCTACAATATACCCTTGACCCAGGCAAGCTCACTGCTAGGAATATACACAATCCTATAAGGTAATTCATCAAAATTAACCAAAGATACATGTACAAGGATGTTTGCTGCACCCCTTTAGTGGAAAAAGACTGGAAAGCATTTACTGATATAAGATTTCTTAAATTATGATTCAACCCTACAATGGAATACACACATCATTAAAAGGAATGAGGCTGCTATATGTGCTGGGTGAAAAGTTCTCCACAATACATTAAGTGAAAAAAATCAAGGAGAAGATACACAAATAAAGTGAGCCACTGCTTGTATCATACATCTCAACTAGTAACTGGGCAGAGTAAGCCAGACAGGAAATTAGACAAGGCTCTCAAGCAAAAAAGTTAATTTCACCTTGCATATAGTATAAGGAAAAGGACAAAACTACACTAAGAAAAATGGTAAGGAGGGGCCCCAGGGTGGCTCAGGAGGTTGAGCATCTGACTCTTAGTTTCAGCTCAGGTCATGATCCCATGGTCCTGTACTGACAGGATCCCAAGCTTTGTGATGACAGTGTGGAGTCCACTTGGGATTCTCTCTCTCTCTGTCCCTCTCCCCTACTCGTGCTGTCTCTCTCTTTAAAAAAAAAGGTGGGGGGGGTGCGCCTGGATGGCTCAGTTAAGCGACTGACTTCAGCTCAGGTCATGATCTCGTGGTTTGAGAGTTCGAGCCCCGCATCAGGCTCCGTGCTGACAGCTCAGAGCCTGGAGCCTGCTTCAGATTCTGTGTCTCCTCTCTTTGCCGTTCCCATGCTCATGCTCTGTCTCTCAATAATAAATAAATGTTAAAAAAAATTTTTTTTAAATGATAAGGAAAGTACATTTTTTACTGTCCCTGAAGCTCTCTTACGTGCACTTATCATCTTTAACTTTCCCCCTTCTAACTCCTGCATGGTCTCAGTCAAAGCTCTCTTGTGCTTCACTGCACATTCAACAACCCAAATACAACAAAAGGTCCCATGCTCAAAAGGTCTCTTCTCTAACTTCTGTATTTCCAGGGAGGATCGGCCAAATATAAAGGAAACTGATATAATCAATCCATGTTAAAATGTGAATAGTTATAAATGTCTCTTCCCGCTAAACCATCAAAAAGCCAACTGCTTTTTGACCCAAATATCTACACAATTAATGGAAATTCAGCTGTTAGGGATATTACACAGCTAAGAGGAAGAAAGAAATGATGCTTCCTTTAAATCATGTTGCTTACATAAAAGAGTGCTCTAGAAGAAAAAAAGAAACAATTATTCTGTGTTCCCAGGAGCCTCTGTCCAACTGGGGAAAAAAAGAAGGGCTAGGTAGAGTAACAATAAGCAACCAGCCACCCGGAGTCCCTTGTGATGACACATTATTTTGTAAGGGATGGTGGGCAGCTGACAAAGGGTATAAAACACCAGAGCTATTAAGAGCCAAAACAAGACGGACAATGATGTTCTAGGGCTAATTCAGCTAAAGGTGAAATGGCCACCCAAAACAGATCATTAAAAACTAGAACAGAGCAAAAGAGAGGAAAAAAGGAAGGAGCCAGCCCACCTCAGGCCAATTTCTTCTAAATCTTCCTTTAGCAGATTACTTCAAACTGTATTCTTTTCCCCTTTCCAAGTTTTATTCTTCCCTCATCTCCATCTCTCTGTCAAAAAAGTTGACAGGTACAGCAAAAGGGATATTTAGGGGGTCACAATACAGTTTCCTGCTCCATTCAATTATCCCTCTCCCGCACACTCCTCGCCATCCTTTCCTATTGAAAAATGTTTGGTTCAGCTGTACAAAAGTAATCCAAATTGTGGCCAATTAGGTAACCCCTAGTCATTGAAGCCTAATGGCAATGCTCTAGTCGAAGAGAACATAAATTATTAGCCATCACTTTCTCCTATCTTCCACAAGAGACAGCTGACTCTCCTTGTCATCACCTTCTAATTTAATGCTTCTAATCAACTGTATGCAACCAATTAGAAAGCTTTATAGATTCATAAGATGAAATAAGAGTAAATAAGCTTTGAGTCAGGGTTTTCAATAAGGAATTAAAAACATGGACTTTTAATACAAGCATTTGCGATAATTACTTCTAGGCTGAGGGGACTGTCTGGGCTTGCTTTCACAAGACAAAGTTAACAGAAGCATAACATATGGACAAGCTGGCCATTACTACTCATTTTTAATCAAGTATGCAAATGCCTACTGGTTTTTTTAATGCATTAATAAGGAAAATATCTTTCCAAATTTATTAATAGGTTTGGGTCTATATGATAAAGTTCATAACTTGCAGAGGAAGGACAACTAATGTGTTTAGGGTCTACTAGATGTAAGACACTGTGCTGGGCACATTTACATATATTAAATCACCTAACATTTATACTAAGGAACACTCAAGACACTAACAGTATAAACCCATCTAACAGATAAAGTCACTGGGTTTACTCTAAGTCACACAGCTGGAGGTAAACTGGGATTTCAAAACAGGCTTAGCTGGTTTAGTGCGCTTTTTGCCACACCATACTAACCTCCCAACTTGAAAGGCTCTGAACACGTTAAGAACTCAATGACCTCCTCTTCTCACTCACCTTAGAGACCACACTATCACCACTGCTTGGGTTGCTACAGCAATCCAAGTTTCCTCAGTTGGCTTCTCCTACCTCATGGCTATCATGGAAGAACTTTGTGACACTAAATCCCTTTTTCTCCTTTGGAAAGAATGGACACTTCCTACATTTGTTATTTTCCCATTTCCATCTATTATTCACACCTTAGTTAATATCTCCTGTCATTCTTTTTTTTTTTCTCCATAGGTTTACATATATACCCTCTTCATCCTTCCATTCTTCCTTCAAACCTTTTCCAAATTACTTCAGGAAACTTCCTCTTTTACCTCCCCATTTTCACTTGAAAATCAAACAAAATAATCCTAGATATGGCTGACAAATAAATATAGGAGCAGTTCTAAAGACATACCTGTATCAAAGAAAAAACAGCTGTAACTTTTTGGAAGACTTCTGCCATAATCATCTAAAAGTTTTGAAAACACCTAGTTCCCTTTCAGAATGTACATGAATATTCATCTGCCACTTTATGGCTTTTAATTAAATCTGCATTCAAGCACGAAAGAAGTATTTCTCACTTAAAGACACTGATTTTCTGTATATTTATTGAGTTTGTTGTAATATTATTCTCCACCAACTTTTACTGAACAATGTAGAACTTCCAACCATAAAAGTCAAAACAGACTATAGTGGGCAAGCTTAGGAATTAAACATCATTCTTTTTTCGGGACACCTGGGTGGCTCAGCTGGTTGAGTATCTGACTTTGACTCAAGTCATGATCTCGTGGTTCATGGGTTCAAGCCCCACATTGGCCTCTGTGCTGACAGCTCAGCCTGCTTCACATTCTGTGCCTCCCTCTCTGCCCCTCCCCTGCTCACACTCTGTCTCTCTTTCTCATAAAAAATAAACACGAAAAAAAATTTTTTTTAATAAACATCATTCTTTTCTATAAAGAAAAATAATTTCCAACTCAAAATATTCTCCCAAATCAACAATACCCTGCCTTGTACCAGAACCCATTCTACCTATAAGCCTCACTTGTAGGCAGAAAAAAAGTACTGAAAAGAACTTATTCTTAAACAGATAAAAAAGAAAAACTCGGTTTTACAACTTACTTCTCACCCAAAGCATTTTCAGTAAACTCTTTGCTGTCTGGAGGATGCCAGTTACATTAACTCGGATATTAATTTTTCTAACCTATGTAGGGTCAGTGAGAAATTACAACTTAGCAATATCAGGATTGGAAACACAAGTATCAATCAGCTTCAAGATCAAATGGTTAGACAAAGCCAGAGACAAAGAAACCCATGACCAATATGGAATTAAATAATTTCCACCGGCCCTTCTTAAGAAGTTTCCTATTCTCTCTCATCCTTCACAAGCATAGTTTTATCTAAACAAAAACTGCTTCACCTCTAATTCAAAAACAAAGTTTACTTCTCTTCTAGGCATATTCTACATTCAGAAACCCCTTCAGAAATATCTTTGTACAACTACAATTTTGCATCTATAAAGCTGAGCTTATAAACTACGCCCTATGACAATTTTTAAGTTGCTACTTAGTTCAAAACATTCTAAGAGGAACAAATGGGTCTTTCTGACTAGTGCCAGCAATGGTAAAAGACACAAAATAAGAGAGATTATAGGCTAAAATCCATCATTTTATACAATATAACAAAAAAAAACCTTTGACCATTTTCTAACCACAGAAAAATAATCTATAAATATTTAAGTCAAAGTTAACGGGCATTTCTATATACTGCACCCCCCTCAAATAAAGCAGAATCTAAGCATATTCTGCATTCCAAATACTCATCACCAAAGTCTTCTAAAACAATGTAACAAAAAAATAGTGATATTTGAATGTTAAAACAAAATTTTCAGCAACTCATACTGTTTAAGAAACAGCTATAATTTATCTTAAAAAGGAGGGGGGGAGAGAAGTTTTAAAAAAAAAGTCCAAGCAAAACAGAACCCTACCTTCTGCTGGATCTACTTGTTTCATCCATCACACCTCATGCCAATATCAACAATTCAAATATTAATGTTAAAAATACTTATTCTGTTAGGAAACTATGAGTTTTCTACAGGCTTGTATAAGAAAAGGAATATCAAAAATACTTGTTAAAACAAACTTCCCTCTACACTACGAACATTAAACACCTACGTTATGTTTAATATGTACTACATAGCAACCAAAACTCGTTTCAGAACAAGTAAGTATTAACTATTAAAACTGACATTTGTTAAACATTAGATAAATACTCTCACTTTAATAATACAAACACTATTTGTGAAGCACAGAACTAAGGATGCATTTTCACCTTCAATGCCAAGAACATCTATAATGTCTTATACTATTCCATCATAAACTAAAGTCAACCAGCCGACTATACTATAACAAGTATATAAATTTATCAAAACTAAAGGGTACCAAGGCTAAAAGGTTGACATAAAACATGGTGGAAAACTGATAACTAGTTTGCAACCCTTTAATAAAATCTATAATAGAATATATAATATTTGATACTTGTTTCAAAACACAGTATTTACAACAGGACAAAAATCATAAAATACAATGTACGATGAAGTATTTTTCATCTAAAAATAACTAATTGAAATATATAATATCTTTGAGAAAAAGTTTTTCTGATCTTATCTAAACATTTAGAATAACACACTCTTTAGAATTAGAAGGAACTAGCTAGAGATCATTTAGCTTTGTTTATATGTAAAGAAATCCTCCTATCCAAGGCCTCCACCCCCTTGTGTTAGTCTAAAATATTAGATAAATCATTTCAACCTAATGATAGTGAAACAAGATGAGGAAGTATCTCAAGTCAATTTTAACTTTTAATACCTTATTCCATTTTATGATATCAAGACTAGCAGTGTTTATTCACAAAAAATTTGAGAACTAGTCACAGAACTTGAACTGTCTCAGAATGTCCAGGCCAAGAGTTAATGTCTTGGATAATAAAAATTGTATTTTAATGTTAATCCAAACTAGACAAATGGAAAGTAAATCTGACACAAACCCTAACTGACAATAAACTCCCCCTCCCTGAATCTGTTCTTTTCTTCTTGCCTAATAAGTGAGACAAACTCATTTCCCAGCCTCCCTTACAGCTGACTGTAGTCACGTGACAGTGTTATAGCCATTGGAATATAAGGAGAAATGACATACATAACTCCTCTTAAGGGAAGAAAAATATCCTTTCTTCTCCCTATTGACATGCATAACGGTAACCATCTTGGACAACAAGACAGAAGCCACATACTAAGAATAGCAAAGGACGACAAAGACGCCCAGGTCATGATGACTCAGGAACCTCTACAAAACCTCAAGATTGTTTTCATAGAGCAGTGCCTGGGGTGGCTTAGTCGGTTAAGCATCCAACTTTGGCTTAGGTCATGATCTCGTGCTTCATGAGTTCGAGCCCCGCACTGGGCTCTGGGCTGACAGCTCAGAGCCTGGAGCCTGCTTTGGATTCTGTGTCTCCCGTTTTCTCTGCCCCTCCCCCACTCACACTCTCACTCTCAAAAATAAATAATTAGAAAATAAATATATTTCTATCTTTAAAGTCTGTCACAGTGGTCACGTCTATATTTTAACTAATATCTCTAATATAAATGATTAATGAATTACCTACATGACTGCTTCCTTATATTAGTATAGGCATATATGTACAAATGTACAATAACTGGGATGTTTTTTCACATTTCAAAAATTACATGCCAAACACCATTAAATTTCATCAATTGGTCTCATTTTACCATGTATGAACACAGAGTTTCCATGGAAATTCTGAAAAATTTAACATGGATATATATGTGTTAATGATAGGCAGGTAAAAAATACACTCTAAGAAAAGGGTTAAAGGAGAAAATATCTTCCCATCTAAATTTCATTTACTATTACATAATAAGCTACACATATTTTTGTGTTAAACAAAACTTAAAATCAAAAATGATATCATACTTATCAATTTTCTCTTAACACTGTTTTCTCAAGAAAAAATTAAAATCCCAGGTTTCTACCAGATATAAACACCAAAACAAACTACAATACAAAAACCAACATGAAATTCTATCACCCAAAATGGTTTCATGTTTGAAAAAATTAACTTATTCATGATTATAAAACACAAGTGTTGACATTACCTGAGACTAAGATAAAAATGAAGACTTCAAGGAAGGGAATGCTGTAGAGTTGAAAAAGAAATCATGGTTGAGTTTCTACCTTTCGTAAGCTTCAAATACCCTCCACACCACCTTAATCACTTATGCCATCCAAGTCCTACAAAAAAAAAAAAAAAAAAAAAAAAAAAAAAAAAAAAAATTACTTAGGAAGGGGGGAAAAAATACTGTATAAATACAATCTGGAGAAACTGGTATGAATAATGAAGCGATCATTCTTTGTAAATACGAAAACCATGCCTGAATGACCAGAACAATGACTTGCTTTTAAGTCTGAAACCAGGAGAATAAAATAGTGGTAAACAGTAACTGTAAAATAACCTTGGCCTTATAAAGAACAATTTGCTTAAATCTGAATCTACAACTTCAGAGATAAGGGATGTTGAAGGAAATTCAGAGGGTTACAGACCTAAAAAGTTAGAAAAGAGAACGCAAAGAAACCACTTAAAAGATTAAGCAAAGATTAAGAAACCACTTAATAGCACTATTTACTGCTTTGTAAAGTCTATTAAGTGAAAAGGGAATAAAATACAATACCAGGCTTGATAAATAAGAAAACAGAACTAGTCATGTACAGAATAAATATTTATTCACAACAGAAACAATTATAGTTGTAAAATGCTATAAAATATTTAGATACAGAAACATAATCAGCCAGGTCATCTTTGACAGAAAAAGGTGACAATAAGATGAGAATAATTAATCATAGGAAGACGGTGTGCCATATCCAAAAAATACAAATAAAAATGAAGAACATAAGCTGTACACAATAAATCTGCCTGACAGTACTTCTGGGCAGAGTAAAGACTGAAGAGTTTATGGAATTCCCTACCATAGGTCTTTAAAAATATTAGATTCTTATCTATCAATAATAGTTTATATACAGTCCACAGGAGACCAGGTGATATATGAAACATAATATGATTGTATATCAATTTTTACAGTAGTGTAAAACCAAGAAAAATGGTCTTCCTCATCTAGAACAAAGTAGTATTTCCATCTTTGAACTTCCAAAAAATATAATACTAATTTACTTTTTAAAAATATTTCAATGCTGTATCCGTATTTTTTCAGAAGTTTACTTGTTTATTAACTAATCTCTACACCCAACGTGGGACTCAAATTCATGATCCCAAGATCAAGAGTCGCGTGCTCTTACAAATGAGCCATCCAGGCACACCTGTATCCGTATTTTTTTAGTTTAAATTCTGAGCACCTGGGTGGCTCAGTCAGTTAAGAGTCCAACTCTTCATTTCGGCTCAGGTCATGATCCCAGGGCCTTGGGCTCGAGCACCATCCGTGCTGAGCGTGAAGCCTGCCTCGGATTCTCTCTCTCTCCCTCTGCCCCTTCTCCTGTGCTCACACATTTTCTCAAAGATAAAATTAAAAGTTTAAATTCTGATGGGGCTATTCATCCCTTAGTAACCTTCCATCTCAGAAATTTCCTTAATATTCATGCATGTCGATTTTTCCAGATAAACTTTTGTCCAAAATAAAATTTATTTTCTTTCAATAGGATTGTATAATATACAAACGATAGTGAAATGACAACAGTAACAATAACCTAGGCAGGGGGAAGAGAGAGTCACAATACGGAGTTGCTTCAATATATTATCTACAATGCCCAGTTTTCAACAATAAATTATAAGATTACTAAAGAAATGGAAAGCATGACATTTATATTAACAAACACTACAGTATCTGAGTATCTCCAGACGTTGGTTTAAGCAAACAAATGTTTCAAAACATCTATTATACATATGTTAAAAGAATCCATGCTTTAAACTTCTTTAATTATGAAAATAATCAACAAATAACAGATTCTCAATAAATGTACAGAAATTATGTAAAAGAACCACACAGGAAACTCTGAAGTCGAAGAGTACAGTAATTAAAACAAATATTTCCTAGAAGTGCTCAACAGCAGATTCAAGATGGCAGAAAAAAATTAATGACCTTGAAGACATCTACTGAAATTATCCAATCTGAAGAACAGAGAGAAAAGCAGTTGAAGAAGATTAAACAGAACCTCAGAGACCAATTTATCAACACTTTTGGAGAGGAAAGAACAGAGGGAAACATTTTTAATAAAATATCTAACAAAACTTCCCAGATTTTACTTTTAGTAAAAAGAAATAAAATCTATAGGTCTTAGGAATTCAATGAATCTCAGGTAGAATACAAAAAGACCCACACCTAGACACATCATAGTGAAACTGCTGAAAGCAAACACAAAGTGAAAAATAATGCAACCATAACAAGAAAAATCACTCCGCACTGTGCAGGGAATTCAACATGATTAACACCTTTCAATCATAAACAATAGAGGCCAGAAAACAGTGGAATGACATACTCAAAGTGCTGAAAGAAAAAAGCTGTCAACCAAGATGGCAGCAGAATTATCATCCAATAATGAAGGCAAAATAAAGTGTCTCAGACAAAGAAAGGATGAGAGAATTTTTTACTAGCAAACCTGCCTAACCAGAAATTTTAAAGGAAGTCCATCAAGATGAAAGGAAGACAAAAGATTCAGATACAGAGGAAAAACAGAAGAGCATCAAAAATGGAAAATATGTAGGTTAATCTAAAGGACTCTATAAATATATTTTCTCATTTCTTCTCTCAGCATCTTTTAATGACATAAGAATATATGAAGCAATGATTATAATATATTGCTGGTTTTATAGCATACATAAATGTGAAATATATACAATAACAGTGGCACAATAGAGGAAGGAAAAAAAGTGGGAGCTATACTGGAGCAAAGTTTCCATATTTTACTGACAATGAATTAAAGTTAATATTAAGCAGACTGTTAAAATGCATAATGTAAACCCTAAAGCAACCACAAAGAATATATCTTTATATTTATATTTAATAAAGAAAAAAATCAATGGAGTAATTATATGATACACTAAAAAATACTTGACATAAAAAGAGGCACTAAAGGAGGCACAGAGGAACAAAAATAAGAGACATACATAAAACAAGTGGCAAAATGACAAATGTAAACCCTGCCATGTCCATAATTAAATGTGAATGGTCTAAACAGCCCAACGCGAAGGCCAGAGGGTGTCAGAATGGACCAAAAATGCCCACAAGATTTAACTACATTCTGTCAACAAGAGACACACTTTACATTCAAGACTGAAAGTTAAAAGATGAGTGGGAAAGGATATTCTATGGGAACAGTAACTGTAAAGAAGTGGATAGTTCTATCGATAACATAAATATATTAGTATTTGCCTTAAGACAAATATTACTGATGACAAAGGAAAGTATTTCATGATGATAAAATATCAATAAATCAGGAAGATATTGTTAACAATTATAAATGTATATGCACCTAAAAAGAGCCCCAAAATAATGAAGCAATAACATTATTGAAAAAACAAAAATTCAACAATAGTTGGAGATTTCAATTCTCCATTCTATATAATTGATAGAATAACTAGACAGAAAATTAGCAAAGATACAGAAAACCTGACTCATACTAACAAACTAGACTAAACTGGCTTATACAAAAAACCTCCATAAACAACAGAATACATGTTGTTTTCAAGCACACAAGGAACATTCTCCAGGTCAGACCAAAAAGTAGGCTACATAACAAGTCTCATAAATTTAAAAGGACGGAACTCATACAAAATACGTTCTTCAATCATAACAGAATTAAATATCCACTAAATTAGAAACTGGAAAATCCACATGTGTTCAGGAATTAAACTTCACACTTCTAAATAATTTAGGAGTCAAAAAAGAAATTAAAAGAACAATTAGAGAATATTTTTAACTGAATGAAAACAAAAACATCAAAATTTATGAGATGCAGCTAAAGTACTTAGAAGGAAATTTATAAATTTAACTAAACCCTAAAGTAAGCAAAGGGAATAATACAGAGAGCAGAAATTAACGAAATTCAAAACAGAAAAAAACTTGATTCTTTAAGATCAACAAAACTGACAAACTTTTAGGCAGACTAAGAACAAAAAGAAAACACAATTACCAAAAACAGGAATGAAAGAGGGGATGGTAATACTGACCTCACAAAAATTAAGTTATAAGACGGAAATACAAGGTTATATGTAAATAATACCTAAAAAATTTTTTTAAGAATTATAAAGGAAGGAATATTATAAGTAAATTTATGCCAACACATTATACAACTTTGTAACATGAACAAATTCCTAAAATGACACATATTATCAAAACTGACTAAAGAGGAAATAGAAAAATCTGAATGTAACAATTAAACAAACTGAATTAGTATTTCAAAATTTCCCACAAAGAGGAGCGCCTGGGTGGCTCAGTCGGTTAATATCTGACTTCGGCTCAGGTCACAATCTCACGGTTGGTGAGTTCGAGCTCCGCGTTGTGCTCTGTGCTGGCAGCTCAGAGCCTGGAGCCTGCTTCAGATTCTGTGTCTCCCTCTTTATCTGCTCCTCCCTTGTTCACACTCTTTCTCTCAAAAATAAACATACATTTAAAAAAAATTTTTTTTAATTAAATTTCCCACAAAGAAAAGAACAGGCCAAAATGGCATCACTGATGAATTCCACCAAATATTTAAGGAAGAAATACTAATCCTTCACAAATTCCTTCACAAAACAGGAAAACGGTACATTCTGAAACTCAATCCGTGAAGCCAGAGTTAACTTGATACCAAAGTCAAAGAAAATTACATGAAAACTACTCAGCGATGCCTATAATTATAAAATTAGGTAAAAAAAAAAATTCTTACAAAATACTAGCAAACTGAATCTAGCAACATATAAAAAGGCCTACACACCATGACCAAGTAGGATGTACCCCATGAATGCAAAGGTAGTTTAACATCTGAAAATCAAGTAAGATAATACACTATATTAAGAGAATACAGGAAAAACCCATATG